CAGTTGTTTTGTGCATAGAAGATGCCCTGACTCACCTAGAACAGTCCTGGAATGCAGGCACTTGTCTTCAGGTCTCAAAGACTATTTTTCAAGAAACTACTTTGTCAATTTTTTTTTTTTTCCCCAGTTACAAACAGGATGGGCTCTCTCACTTTCATACTTTACCCAAAGAATCCTATGATCCCTCCATCCCCAGACAGCCAGCATGGCTCACGCTTCTCAGCAGAATCCAAACCAGAAACTACAGGTAAAGCCCGACACACCCAAAGGGAACCGAAATGGGCCTGGACTAACACAACCCTCAGCTTCTCCAGCTGGATCTGCACTTATATGATTTATGCGCTAACACTGTCATTACAAAAGGCTAGAGAGCGTCCAAGAAGGTGAGAGACTCCATTGTGAAATCCCGTCTCACAAAAGTTTCTGAAACAGCTGTGGCAAATTAACTAAACTTTTCTTTCTTTGCAAAAATATCCTCAGCCTCCAGGGCAGGAGAGGCAACAGACTGTGACATGCAGAACGTGGGCTGGTGCTGGTGGGTGCCACGTGGGCTCCTGTGCTTGCTGCGCCACTTCCTCAGCCTGTGGCAGAGGTGACCAGCCATCCCCTGGACATCTCTGGATTCCTCACAAAGGGTAGTTAGGAGGTAAGGGGCTCCTCTAACCAAGGAATGGCACACAGGTTCGAAACTGCATAGCTGAGAGACTTTAACACATCACCTTAATGTTAACTGAAGGCTGTTCAGCGTGCGTAAAGCAGCAGGGAGGAAAGCGGCTGAAGGGAGGTAAGGGAGAAGGAGAAATGTGGATGCAGCAAGTCCCACCGGAGTTTCTCTCTGCATTCCAACATCATAAATTTTGCTGACTTGGGTAAATGCTATCCCAGATGCGGGCGGAGGTATTTGCAAACACTCATCAACCCAGGCTCCCTGCAGTCAGCGGGAAACCGTTTGCTCTCATTGATAGTCAGACCACAGGATTCTCCAGAAAAGCTTTTCTCTCCAGATCTCCGGTAGGGAACCAGGCTAATTCACCTCCCCAGGCTACACATAGCCCTGGTACTATAAAGGCTGCACTTAGAGCACCCTGCCAGACCCTCGTCCAGTTCTTCATTCACCAGGCGTTCTCAGCAGAGCACTTTGATCCCTTTTACTCGAGCTGCATACACCAAGGACACAAATCACTCTGCCCTGAGCCCAGTAAGTGCTGTCCAAGAGCCTGACACCTATAACACACGGGGGCAGGACCCCGTGGGATCTAGAGAGGGGCACACAGCATGGCTGTGGGCTTTGTGCCTGGCTCTGCCAGAGCTCTGCCAGTCCCACGGGCACCGTACCCGACCTGGTGCCGTGAGGCGCCATGTGGGCACATCAGCGGGAGCACACCCAGCTCTACTGCACCCTCTGAACACTCTCCCAAGGTCAGCACCACCCAGCAAGAGTCAATCCATAAGCAACATTTTTTGTACATTAATCCTTCTAGGTACTGAGTCCTCAGTAAAACTCTGGTGATGTATCTGCCACCAGTCCCCAGTTCAGACAGCATTTGGCAGTGCCAAAAAGTGGTAAAATATGCTGGGGGCTTTATCTGCTCCATAAATTATGCTCCAAAAAATGCAGCAAAGCCAGGAAAGGCCTATTCTGCAGGTGAAAACATCACAGGCAAGTTTTCCCCTGACTGATCACATTGGCCTTGGACAATCCATAAAACACCAGCTGCTCTTTGCTTTAACGTGCGAGCCAGCAGGTCACCCATGTCCTCCCAAGACAGCCACATGGCTCATAGCAAACTACTGCCCAGAGGACGTTGTTGTGACCAAGATAAAGAGCAGCACCAGTCTGCTGTGGATCATGAGCCCCTAATGCTGCGTGCCCATGCCAGAAGAGTTTTCTTCCTCACCTGCTGCCCATATCAGCTTCCACTGGACTGTCCTCAGGTAACAGCAGCATAACTCCAAAGAAGCAATGAGAAGGAAAGCTCCTGGAGGAGTGTATCAGCTCCGCCTGCTTGTCAACCTCCACCTCAAAGTGCAGGGCCCAAAGCTGGAGTAATTTAAGTCCTAATTTCTACAAAACAACTCAGAGAGGCACCTCCATGGCTTTTTACTGCTTCAGGAGCATGGTATCAGGTCCCTTATGATCCTGCTCCACCTCCTGTAGCTGAAGGACATCAGGGAACCTGAAGCTTGGGAGCACCCAGGTTTCATTTCTCTGCTTAGCTATTGAGGTGATGTGTAGCAGCTGCCTGAGCCCCGTGCTTCGCTGTCTCTGAGGGTTGGTCAGGGTGGCCCCCAGCCTCGAGGGCCCAGGACCGAGCCAGGTTTTACAGAACTACACAGGCACACACTGCACAGTGCAGGAGTGTTTCTGTTCCAAGTTTCAGGTGTTGTCACCTAAATCCAGAGGTCACCGTCCGGTGTCTGGAACTGATTCCCATGAAGAACTGCTGCTTTGTCACACAGAAAGGGTAGTAAAGCTAAACGTGTCGGTAGATGTGGAGCACTGTCAGGATGGCTGTGCAGGCTGTGAGAACATCAGACAGCTTCTGCAATCTGCTCACTCCAGGCCACGCAGTGATCAGCCCAAGTAGGTGGCAGCTCCAGAGACCAAATTCCAGCTTTGCTGTGCAACACCAGCCTGTTTCTCTTTGGTAACTCCCACACACCCATTTCTGACACAGAGTTATCTCCTACTTCTAAGGCAGCTTGGGGACCTCCCCTTCTGTAGATTTCCTCCAGGTCTCATACCAAGATACTTCAGGGCAAATGCTGGAGCAGAAGTTGAAATTGCCTAGTAAGTAGGTAAGTAAATCCAGGTGGTGGAATCACATCTTGGAGGAACTAAAATTCTGCTCTTTAGGGGGTTAAGAAACACTAAGTGAGCTTAACAAGAATGATCCCAGTGAAAGCTCCATGAAACCCAGAAGAAAGAGAATAATTTATTTGGTAAATAAAGCTCACAAATCACTGTCTTGTGTAGATCCTAAGCTTCTGCTCTAGATAATAGACCTCCTCTAAACAGAAGGAAATAAAAATGTACACCAGGAATAGCAAGAGATTTTATTAAAGAATTTAAAACTAAAGTAAGGATTTTTATACCCTGTCTCTGAAATAGAGGAAGCATCAGACTCTTAGGTGTTGATTTATTTTACTCTGCTTACACAAACTTAAGCTGGTTTTCAGTTTTTGATTCCCTAAATATTTATCCTGTTTGCTTTTCAGGTACTTCTTATTAGATTTCCTTAATATTAAGTATTTCTTTCTAAAGATAATTTGGAAGACACTTAATAGAAGTTAAATCCAGCAGAATGATATCGTTTGAGACACACCAAAATTGAAGAATATGACCATCAACATCAAAAACTAATTCCTCCTTTATCTGGGCTTGCTGCATTAGAATTTCGCCTTTTGCCACAAAACTGCAGGCTACTTTTTATGTACAAATGTGCCTCATTTTGGCAAAACATTGTATTTCAAAATTATAGTTGAATAATTTGAGGAGTATTTCTACAGGAGAGAAATCAAAGACTAAATTTCAGAGCATTGAAATTAGAATATTTTGCCACTAGCTTCACTATGGAGTCAGTAATGAAAATACTCTTCATCAACACATTTCCCACAACAGTTTTTGGTATCACATAGTGCTTTATACCAAGAGTCTAGAACAACCAAAGGCCTCTTAAGACTATGATCAAGTGGACTAAGGAACCAGAATGGTAAAGAAGAAAACATAGGAAGTAATGAAGCTGGTTTTTTATATAAAAAGTTACATTCTGCCTCAGAATCAAATACAGCCACAAAGCCAGAATGAAAAATGTTTTCTTCTCCCTTCTGTGTAAAGCTTTCCATGAAGTCTTTAATCAAAAAGCCTCATGTCTAAACCAGATGTGCACCTCATTGTTGGAACTCCATCTAAAAACTAGCACCAGTTCTCTCCAGAGCTCACGTCCAACAGAGGGGAAGGTGCAATTCATCACAGCTCAGCTTGACTTTATCTGCAAAGCAGCCAAAGGCATGTGCTGGGTGGGATTTTTCACCATCAGTGCTCTGGCTGAGCCAAGAAATGTTTCCAGGGGCTGACACTTGAACCATGGGGCAGGGACCAATGCAGATTCAAACGTGGTCACCCCGTTCCCAGCTCTGCTGCTGACATGACATAAATGGGGCAAGTCATTTCCTGGGGTGTCCGAGCCAAAGCACTGCGTGCAAGCTCCCCATGACTGGCTTACACAGAAACTCATACTACACATCCCTGATGAGTGTTGAACCAAACAAATGAAGTGAATCAGTGCAAGCTCTTCAGAGCCGCCCCCAAGAACTCAGCATAAGCTGTTACTCCACTAGGTCTCTTTTCAGATCTATGAGTGCTGGGAAAAGGAATTTGAACAAGTAATGATATCACACACAAACTTCTGGAGCACTGTGTTCTCAGAAATGTAAATAACACCACGAAATGCCACATGGGATACGTAAGCTGCTTTAATAATAATAAATTTATTAAGTGGCAAGAAGCCACTCTGCTTTGTAAACCAATTTTACTCAATCACAGTCCCTCTATTGTTTTCCTCATTTAACATGAATACATTCTGTAATTTGTCTGTGAAAGATTTACGTAGAGATATGTTCTGGACCACTCTTGCTGATTTTACTGGTCAGAAAAACATTAAACATGCAGAAAAAGCACCTTATTAAAACTCTAGGCCTTTCCTCAGTACATCTCCTTCGCTGCTAAGCTAAATGTCACTGAATAAACGACCTTACAGACTCTTTTACCTTGTCCTGTGTTCTGAGATGTAGGGGGCCTGCACAATTGTCTGATAAAACCTCACACAGAATAAGTAATTCTGAAGGCTTTGTAAGCAATAGCTGCAGTTGCTTCTTCAGACTAGAGAGAGCTTCTCATGCATTAATGCACTTTGTTAGGTTTTGTGAGGAGCTCAGAGGATGCACTCTCTTCCTGATGCAATTAGTTGAGCCTGGACTCTGCACCACTGATGTTGTTCAGCAACTGTGTGCACCAATAATTTAAAAAAAAACACCAAGAAATCAGGCTGGTTTTATCAGAAACAAGTAAGAAATCTTATCATGAGAGTAAAAAAAATGGCAATTTCTGATGTGTGACATTTTCATTGCTTGAGAAGGGATCAGTGCAAAGTGAGGTAACCCATGCCCCCGTCACGTTGGGCCGGGGGCGCGTCACACCAGGCGCCGCCTCTTGGAGTCCCTCTCCATGTCCTCAGTGGGAGAGTCCCCGTCGCACCCAAGAGGGGACACCATGTTTAGCAGAGGGTCTTCAGACGCCCCTCCGAACAGGGACAGCAACAAAGCCACACCATAGCCAGTAGCTCGTTCACCCTAGGAAAAAAAAAACCACAACACACAGTAACTCACACTTCAGACTGTGTAAATTGAATCTGGTTCTCATTTACCTCCTCACTCAACAAGAGCAGTGCTGGTGCCTGGCCACAGGGAATACTCGCGGTCCCTGGCTCAGCCTGTGCTCCTGCACCCTCACTGCTACTGGAATCTGTCCTGGTTGGACTAAACCAGCACACCAGCTGCTTCACATGAGACAGCTCACACCGACTCAAGCATGGATTTATGCTAACAGAAGTTTATGCTAGCATTCAGGGCAGGGAATGTTCCATCCAGTGTAAGCATGGGTTTGGAGTATCAGCTGAGTAAGCTGTGCTTACAAAAAAATAAGGTGAGTGGGTGTAAACTGGCTAATTTTTTTAGGAAAAAAGAATATACACAAGTTCCATCACAGGGAGGAGGGGGAAGTCCCCCCCAGGAGGAAACAAGTGTTTTCTCTGCTGCAAGTCAGCAAGGCAGGATGATCAACTCTGGTCAACTGTCTTAAAACAATGAGTAAAATGGAAGGCTAGGTAGTAGGGTACAGCAGGGTTGGTGGTTGGACTCAATGATCTCAAAGGTCTTTTCCAAGCAAAGTGATTCTATGGTTGTTGCCACAAACCAAAGGGGCTAAGTGTCAAAGTTCACAATGATAAAGATGTTGCTGATGAAAGTGACCACTGGGTGTTTTAAAACCAAAATGAAAAATAAGAACAGACGAAGCTACCAAAAAGAAATGCCCCAAACAGATAAAGAGTCAATGCTTCTCAAAGTAACTCCTCTCCACCTAATTCTCTTGCTCTAAATTTCATGGCACAGAATTCAGAGTAGCTGCAGGCACAGGCAGTTTTCCTCACCCAGCCTGCCTGCCCAGGGAGGTCTCAGAAGCCCTGGGAACATACTCACTGCATGAACTGGTGCAGCAATATCTACATGGACCCAGACCCCAGGCCAGTCGAAGCCAATGTGAGAGGCAATGAAGAGCCCAGCACAGGAACTTGGAGTATTGTCTCGGTCCTGTAGAAACAATACAAACAACAGGTGGTCTTGCAAGAAAAGACACTATTGATGTTTTATTCTTACCTACAGAAAAGAGAATTGTGCCAATATAGTTCAAAGCTTAATGAATGGCCTTAAAACACAGTCTTGCAAAGCAGCTATACTGTAAATCCTTTGACTTAAGCCCTGGTAGAAGTCTGGCCCTGCTCAATTCCTCTTCTGCCCAAGCTTCTTTCTGCAGTGCTTTTGGAACTTAACTGCACACTGTACCTCTCAAACACAGCAAAAGCAGCTGCAGCAATTCCCTAGACCTCTGTCCTCTGTTTCCTGGTTTCTGCACTCCCAGTTACTGTCTCTGCTGGTTATATACAATCTGAGGAGCATCCGTCTTTACTTCTTAAACGGTATCCATCCAGGAATTCAGCACTCATCTAAGGGCCATGCTTAAAAGGCAAGCAGCCCAAAGATACCTTTGCAGCAGGCTACCCTTTTTAAAATTGACACAAAACATCAGTGTAGTGACACACAGCCTGCAAAATCCCCAGATAAAGGACCCTGAAGGTCATAATTATACGTCCCATTTCTGTAAGATCACAGCCCGCAAGAAGAGCTTTCAGCCAGCTATCAACAGGCCAGCACATTACCTACAAAATACACATTTTTATGTAATAAATAAAATTTAAAAGAAAAAAAAAAATCTTACTGCCACAGAGTTCTTCATATCAGCTACAGCAGAGGTAAATTCACTGAAGTGGAGCTCAGGGCAATACACAAGAGGATGGACTAAGTCTCCACAGTTCCTGCCAGCTTTAACACAAGCCTTTTCCCACTCTTCATTATTGGTAAGGACAGCAGCATGATACTTCCCTGTAGCAATTCCCTAGTGAAATAAGACAAAATCAGGAAGAATTCACCTTAACTCTATTGGGTGGGATAATTCTGTACCACTCCCTCTCAGCATTAGCAGTTGCTTTCCATCTAACAAAGCCACCAAGAAAAAAAAAAAGTCTCAAAACCACTCCATAAGAAGGGCAGGTGTCACAAATGTAGACAAAGATGTCATAGCTACTGCTGAATCTTTTAAAATTTCTGAAAAATCCATTCTGTAGTGAAGCTGTCTGCAATAGTTGTCTTTATAGTTACTGAGCAGCAAACTATATCACTTTACAAGTATTTGTTGTTAGAAGCAAAATCAAATTGGCAATGAATTATAAATAAAACATCTAACACACAGTAGAGGATACCCCAGCAATTTGTGTCAATCACTCAAAGAGTCTGTAACATCCTCATTCATTGGAAAGGTTGCCTCCTTCCAAATATACAAAACCCAGAAGCCACCATCAGACCAGTCTTTCAATAGGACAACAATGGGAAATTTCAATGGGCTTGATGTTTACACCAATGTATACAACATTCAGGCTTCTAAAATTCGCCACCATTTCTCCTCCTGATACAAAGACCAATTCATTTTCCAGAAAATTATACCACAAGAATCACTGCTTTTCAATATAACCTTCTACAAAACCAGAACAGATTTCAAAAAATAACAGCATTAAATTTGTACCCTTGCATCTTTCCACAGCTGACTTACAATGTAAGCTGTTTTCTGGACAAGAGAATTCCTGATAGCCATCATCAAATCAGTTCTGCTAATTACAAAGATACTGAATGGCAAACATTGAGCACTGGGTCCCTTACATCAGCTGCTCATGTCGTCAGAACAATGCCATTTTTTTCCTTAAGAATGCAAAAGCAAAAAAGTTGCATAAAGAACAAAAAGCCTCAACCCTTCCTGGGTAATGCAGTTATAAATGTAACACATTCATGGCACACAGCACACACACAAGAGGACTCCAGCTTACTGGGACTGCTGCTGGCAACGCTCTCTTGCACAAGTTTAGGAAGCCATGCTCAAGCACAACAGTTGATGGGACCCAGCCCCCCAAAGACTAGCAGAGCAGAGGTTAAGGAAGTGTAGTGGAAGTGCTCTCAGGCAGCAGAGGCATGCATCCCCCGTGTGCCAGCAGTTCTGTGTCAGTACCTGAGCTCCAGTGAGAGTGGCCATATCAAGGATGATATCAGCTCCAAGATCTTTGCACGCATAAGCTACTCCATCAGCCAGTATCAGCCTCCCTTCTGCATCAGTGTTATTGATTTCCACCGTTCTAGGAAGAAGAGAGAGCATTTAATGCAGCAGTACCTCAGCTGGAGGGCAAGACTCCTCTGTCTGGACTAGAATACTGGAGGAGAAAGCAGACTCAGACCTAACAGGCTTTCTTATCTAACTCTGCAGGTCTGTATGGCTGCTGACTCCCCAGCTGCGGGCACCCAGGCACAGCTCACGTGGCAAAGGGCTGTAACTGCACTGTCCTCATGGCTGGGTCTGCTTGTCAGGCCTGCAGAATGCCCAGCACGTTGAGCTGGGGTTTTACAAACTACTGCCATATAAACAGGTATCACACTCTGCTTAAAAGAAGAGGAGAGTCTCATACAATGGCAGCCTGCCCCTGTGACAACACAGACTACAGATGAACACAGAAAACTGGTTGTACTGGAAAAAACGCCTAAACCTGGGTGCTTTAAGGGAACTTTAGCTCATGATATAGGTGATACATATTTTGGTGTGTATTTACATTCCCAACAGGAAACCTTAAACACACTTAAAACTCACTACTCCAGCTGTCTGAAATACCATTATCAGTATCTAGGGAAGCTGATGAAGGGCAGGTTCACAATCTGCATGGCACTCGGACAGAACCAAAGAGTTCCTCTCAACATTTCTGTGGAAAGGATAGACATGATCTTACTTTCCAGAGTAAAGAACATGAATATCATCAGGTCTTGTTGCATGTGGTCCGACTGCATTCTCAGCCAAACAAAAAACAGCATGAAGATTGTCTTTAAACCCCTGTAACAACAACAGGAAAAAAATGGCTTTTGATTCACATCGAGCTAATTTATTGGGACTGAAATGAATGAGGACTTAAAACTTCTTGACAGCAATGTGACTAATTACATAGTAAGTCTGTGACAAATGTCTTATATTTTGAAGCTGAGACCAAGAGCTATAGAAAGTAAGCCAAAGAGGTTTTAGACTTCTCACTGGGGAGTGAATAAAAGCATGTGACAGACAATCAGGGAAGGAATCTAGAAAGCCCTTGTTAATTAAGCAGCCATGAGTAAAATCTCTCAGTGACAAGGTATCCAAATTAAAGTGTCTTCTATATGCAGCATACAGATGCAACTGGAGGGGGTTATGTTTAGTCAAACCTGATTCCTTGGGAAGAGCACATTCAGCTCCAGCAAGATCTTCACAAGCACAATGGCAAAGCCCACTGAGCTCACTGGGAAACTGCCAGGCTCACAAAACCAAATCCCAAGTCACTGAACTACAGTACCCCTGCATGAAAATCAGCAGAATACATCTCCAAACATCCAACACTTCACTCATCTCATTTCAATACCACACTAATACAGACTCACAACAGAAATCACAAACAATACATCTGGACTGTGGGACTCCCTCACTTTTCGTAGCCACAAAGGAAAGATCCAAGCAACACCTGCTTTCAACGTGACCATTACACAGGCTGGGAGAGGACGTTACACAGCCAGTCAGGACACTTGGGGTTACTCTCCAAACACTGTGTTTTCTGCTGCTTTTATTTAATCTCCAATAACAACAAAGATACAACTGGGGCTATCTGAGAAACTGAGCTCCTTCCCACCACTTCTACCACAACAGTGAAGAGCCTACAGGAATAGTGGAAAATGATGGAAATAAAAAAATGCTAATATGCAGACACACGGGAACTGTATACTTTCCTTAAAAAAACAACCCCAGGCAAACAGTTTGCATCTTTGAGAATATTTTTGGAAAGTAACTTTGATGGTGGCAATCCTGGAGCATGGTGGAACTCCATATCTCAGTGGACCTCCCAGCTGCCAACAACACAGCTCATTGCCCTTCAGCATCCTACCTGCACCACAGGGCAGATACACACTACCAGGACCTCTCTCTTTCCATGTAAAACCAAAACCACCCATGGCTAAGACAAATTTGGGTTGGTTTTTTTGGGGGGGGATAGGAGTATGTGTGTGTTTGTGGTTTTT